GACGCTCAGCGGAGCTCCGATCACGAAGGACCTCGTCCTTAAGGGCTTGAAGAGCATCACGAGTCACCGGACGCCGATCGACCCGGTCATCACCACCCGCCACCGACTCTTCTCGATGAGAACGGTGACGTCCACTATCACGTGGAGCGACAAGTGAGCCGACGTCGTCACCAGGGTCAGACCCGATATCTGGTGAAGTGGCGGGGATATCCCCGACTCAGAAAATTCGTGATAGTTTGAGGCGCCACTTCGGCAAGATTGCTCAGATGCCGTGGACGCTTTTGATCAGAAAGATCAGAACGCCCCACGCTTTCCGGCAATAGCCAGGAAATAAGAAGTATCATGAGCTGATCTCAAGCAGTGGCTCTGAGCTCTTGCGGTCGCAGACACAGAGCTCGCGGGAGCGTTAGGGATTGACTAATACGTCGCAGGGCGACAATCAGAAGAAAGTCGACGGCGTGCCTTGAGTTTGGCAAACTCAAATTTGAGGTGTCGTTCCACACGCACGTCCACTTCCAGGTGGCTCAACTGTAAGTTATACAGTGAGGAAATCTTTCGGTGCCGTTGCACCCATCGCTCAAATAGCGCTTCGTCATCTGTAGCGTTTCGCCAGGGGCGAGTACTACAGGTATTGTTCGCATTGCGGGTACCCGAGAGCCACCTCGTTGAGCACTAAGACGAGTGCGATAAGCTTCCAACGGAAATTCTTGTGGAACCAAGAAACGATCCCAAAGAGCTTTCCGTTTGGCAAACTCATCTTCCATTCAGGCCGGGGGCTCGATGATGTGGACGCGTAACTATCGAGTTACCGCGTTCATCGCTTCCCAGCGGGATCTGCTGGGTGGAAGACATATTCCACACGAGGGTCAATAACCGGCCATGGATGCGCGCGCATCAAGTCCGCCTTACGGGCAGCTTCCATCTGCCGCCTCAGTGCCCCGTCGGGGTCATTGGTGATTACTCCACGTCCCTCAGGTGACGAGAAATCGGGAAACGAACATGGGGTCCGCAACGCGCGAGCAGGGCTCATATCACGCCGCTGGCGCAGGTCGCCTTCCTCGTCATCCCATGCGGGAAAAGGAGTGTCAGACTCGTAGTCGACCACCTCCACATCCTCAGCGAGGCCACTCGTCACTGATAGCAAGCGCTGAGCGCGACTCTCGTGCTCATCAAGCCTAGGATATACATCCCTCGGTGCTGCGGACGCATAATCGATTGGAACTTTAAATGCTCTCAATCTTAATGGGGGAGAGTGTAACGGGGTTACACGATCCCTGGTAACAGGGGTGTGTGTCACACGAGATGGGCATGGTGTGACTGCACTCAAACAAGAATACGGTATGTGGCTGGGTAGCCAGTAGTTATGCGTGTTTTTAGATTTTACTATATATATAGAGAAATATCTATACATTTAAAACTAGGCCGCTTTGCCGCAGATAAAAATCTGTTTCTGAACTAAACAGAAGATTTAATTAGCCTTGGGTAAAGGCAATAATTACTCTTGGAGTAAGCGGATTGCAATCCGCTAAACTCGTACTTGTTCCAAGTATAAAACGAAAGGTCGGTGACCTCACTTACGCTTCCTCAAAGCGCAAAGCTACAGCAGCCCCGCTGCACCGCAAGTGAATGGGGCATATACTTATTTGATGACCATGATAGGTGCTTACGGAGGAGCGAATAATATTGATCAGAAAAAATCTATTTTGATGATTATAATGACAAAGTTTGCCTGATTCCAGCACATCGCTTTGAGTTGCTCGTCGAGCTGAAGAAATTGTTCGACTAATCCAGGTAGAAATCGGGATTCAATACGATGGCCGCGACATGGTCAACGATGTTGTGTCGAAGTCGCTTGTCATATAAACGGACAACAATTTGCCATTTGGATAATTGAATGTGAAAGTAAAGTCGGCATATTCTTAAAGTTTGATTCATGCTTAACAGGAAGGACATAACCCAAGATTGGGGGTATATAAGCATGAGAGTAGACTTACTCAACGATCTGCTAAAATTTAGCCATTTTTTATTGATTTGTTCAGAAATGAACATTTCTCCCCCCCATTGCAATCGCTATAAATGATAAAGCAAAAATGTTGAATACAACAACACAGAGATATCTACATGACAAAAGGGGAAGACTTTGGAAACTTCGACAGTGGGGTCAGCAAGCATTTGGTAAACATTTGATATGTCTGGAGAATCCAGAAACCTTCTCGAGTAAGTCAATGACAGTTGTGAGTTACGGCAAATTCCAGGCTCTGGGTATGGAAAGCTCCTACGTTTATTATACGAAAAATTATGAGCAGAATATTCTTGTAATGGAGATCTGGATGAGAAGAAATGTGCCGGGAAGTACAAAGACAAAGTTCTCACGTGACGAAAGCGTGCCAATTATTGATCTGGTGATGTTTAACAACGTTTTAATTGTAAGAATCTTTCATAATATAATAAAACCTCTGCTCTGGTGGTGCTTGGGCGTAACATCAATGCCCTTTTAGAAGCATTATTGCCATCAGTGTTACAGCATGATCATCAGAATAGCCCGCGACCCCACATCAGCAATTTATCCCAAGATTGAAAAAGTGAAAATTGTCTGACCTGACATGGGCTCAAGGCAAACAAACCAAATATGAGCAATTACAGAGCATATCCATTGGTCGAAGGACCAATTGGCACCTTGAAAAATACTTGAATATTAATATACTATTAAGTTCATTGCACATCAGTTTAATCGCTTCCGAGCCAAGATCTAAGATGACGCGGCTGAGAAATCTGAGCATTTCTTGGTGGTATTTGAATAAAAGTTTAATTACGATATCAGGCTCGACGTACCGATGGTAGTGGTGAATGATTATAGACATTAGCTATGATTCGCAATCTATCAGGGTTGTATCATACGTGATTGAGGTCAGTAATCAAGCAAGGAAGGTTTTGAGGCAATTCTGTGAAACAAGGGGTATATACCTTAAAAGAAATCACGAATGTGCATTATCGGAAAAGGTCATCGATAAATGTTTGATAAGCAAGCACCCCACTCTTATTGATCTTGTACTTTTCGACTCACTGCGCTCTAGACCAAAAACAAGTCGCTGGGTGAGCGAGGGAAAGCCGGTGGAATTTCTAAGCATTCACAATGTTACAAAAGTGTGATGTGAAATTCGTACTGATGTACACTTTTATATCTTGCACAATCTTTCAGAAGTCTAGCTTACAATATAGGCGTCGACATGATCAATTGATCAGATTCTTCGTTTGCCTTCTTTCTTATAAACGCAATTTAATAAGATCAAACATGAGCATACCGGATCTTCTCGACCAGTGTTCAAAAAAACACAATTTATTTAGGTGTACGAGGGATTTGTGTTGAATCTATACAGGGTCTAGTCTTTGAACCAACATTTGACTGGCTTCGGTCATCACAGCATTTATTTACAAAGATCTCATAGATTTGGTCATGTGAAGTTACTTATTTTTGTGAAATATACAAAGTCTTGTTTGCTTGTAAGATCCACTAACTCTCAGGTAGCCGTACTATTTTCAAGCGCTTCCTTGACACGAAGAAGAAACCGAAAGCTACTAAGAAAATTGTCAACCCAAAGAACAATTCAAGATCGCTGGCATAGTGTGAGAAAACGATATAAGTCATCCGCCTTTGAAATCCATAGGTGTATGTATTTACACGGCAAAAATAATACTCCACGAGTTTATGTGAGCGAATCTACAATTCCTTGTCGTTCAAGAAAATAGTGCGTCACGATAGTAACAGCGACAGGCAAGTTTTTTATACATTTAAGCCAGACTTTGAGATCAACATTTTGTACAGAAAGAAAAAGAGCGCAGTACAGATAAATGACTACAAAACTTAGAATTTTTAACACATAAGGTCTTCTTTGTATCCAAAACCTTTTTGAATGTCCGACCTTGATCTTTTGATGACTGGGTGCGTGAAATATTATCATGGTTTGGCTTTGTCTCTCAGTATACGTCATGGGTAGGCCTCGTCAAACGCTTTGCTACAGCGTGGGCGCTTCAATTTGTTTTCGTCTATGATGCTTGGTAACTTCATTTGAAAAATAACAATTTACAAGCAGAAAGTTCTTCAATACAACTTTCACTTTTTAATCACATTGCTGAAATGTATTGCATCAAATTTCAAAATGACGTCTTTCTTAGCTCTCTCCTGATCAGATGTCTTCTCTCGTCATATAGCTCTCGCATGGTTACTTTAAATTGTGGATCAATGGTCTGCAGAATTTTACGAGAACGAATTGAGCATTCTTCTTTTGAGCTGCCGTGTAGCCGTTTAATAGGAATGCACGTTGGCTCCTATGGCACAGGATCGACTCTAGCCCTATTTGCATCAATATTATTTAAATTATGACATTCCGGAGAAGATTTCAGCGAAAGCATGGTGAAACTTTTACTGCAGTCCACGTCATGTATCGAATATATTTCATCGTTGCTTTAATGTACTTCATCAGCATACAATATCAACGTGTAGTCATACTACTGCAATTTTTATAAATACGCACTATAAGGTGACAGATATGCTTTCACTCATACGTTGTAGAAAGCGTGTCTCTTGCAGAAATAGCCATGTTTTTGATATGAGCGCTTACTACATCCCTTGAGCTTGCAACGATTGCCACCTCCATGTGCCCAGCACGATCCGCCCTGAGCCGCCACCTTCTCACAGTTTTCATGACTGCAGATGCGGCCGCCGCCGTGTGACCAGCAGTAGCCGTAGCGCTTTGCCTTACTATTACAACCTGAGGCCAAGCAGATGGTCGAACCCCCGTGTTGGAAGCAGAGATTGTGTAGCTTCGCCCCTTTCGTGCAGCCATTAAAAACGCATCGCGAACCGCCACCATGACGCACGCAGCGGCGACGCGAGACCGCTAGACTGGTGCAGCCCTTTTCTTTGCAAACGCGTGTCTTTAACTGAGGTGATAACGAGGCTGTAGGAGTCATTGCAGGGCTGTAGAGGTTAAGTTTCTCATTCTTAGCGCTTGCAAATCCAACGGCGCAATCGTTGATGGGTATCGAGGACACGAATGACATGGGGATCGAATGTACTGAGTTAGAGATGGGATGGATCTTCATGCATGACTTGAGACCGGATAGCTTTTCAATGTTAAGTTGTACGGAGGATCCTGATGCACATAGCAGAGCGGCAAGTATCTTTGGATCACTATTCCAGCTCGACACGGAGCTGGGAGAGCTTGCGTTAGAGCCTGACGAAAGACAGCACGTTTCCGATTGCAGCGGCAACGGATACGGTAATAGCGGGGAGAGTCGTACAGTCTCCATAACAGGATTCAGAATATAGTCGAGCTGGGTCTTGCTATTCATTGTACGTAGACCAGATTTTAGTTCAAGACTAGCGAAGACTTAGCTTAATACGCATTGGAGGGTCTTTGAATGCAAGAAAATGCATAGTGATCGAAGTTGAATGCCACCAAGAGTAAGCAGGAAACTTCATTGGCGCATCTGTGGTCCGCCGTAGCCACTTAGCTACCTTGAAATTGTCTACGTGGAACAGCCTATTCGATTGTATAAATTTCAACCAATATCTGAGCGCATAGCCATGAGACGTTGAGTTCTAGACGGGGCTGATCCCTCCACCACCAGAATGCTATTTTTCAGCCATGATGTGCAGGAGAAACATGATTTGGGAATACGAAACGGTCTGTAGCCGTCGTGTATAGGAATTCGCTGTTATCGTGCTAACTAAAATTTTATACCAGCGAGAACTATAACGGAGTCCAAAGAGGTCCATAATATTTTTAGCCACTTATCCTCCTATTAAGATTTTCGACCAGAAAAATACTTGTGCTAGAGACAAACAATTCTTGAAATGTCCCGTTCGATTGGAGAAATTCGCGAAAATTTTGGGAGGCCACAATAAAAATTGTAGTCTAACGCAAATTTAGAGGCGCAGATTGAAAACTAATCATCGTCTGATAAAATCCTTGTCTAATACAAATTCTCGTCAACGCTATGAATCGTGCGCATCTCTATGTGTAAATAGGTAGCTCAACAACACAATCTGCTACCTACTTTGACAGATCGCTGAGAACTCAAGGCTCGAGTTGAGTAAGTCTTCATAGCGGCTTGAGATAGAAAGTTGTATGTGACCGTAAAATTACAATATGCTAAAATTAATGGCTTGAAAAGATCTCCAATATCGACCGCCAAACTATTGTGATACTGAGTAGCTGACAGCAAAAGCATGAAAGAATGAAATGTCAACCGAGGTTTAACATACCAAAGTGAAGAAAGTCCAACATGACATCCAAACAATACAAGAAGAAAAAAGCGTAAGAAATTGGTGATGTATAAGAGCTTCTAAGACGTTGCATGCTGCATGTAGATGTAGGGCAAAACCTAAGCGTTACTTTCTCAACGACTGTATGTCCAGGCCCTCAAAATGTATCTCGGACGGGACGGTGAAGAACTACTGCAGGTTGGGTCTCCTATGTCAGGACCGGTAGAAAGTGGAATTGAGTGGGTGTCACAGTCTCTTATGTTAGAACTGGTAGAAGTGAGAAGTGACTGAAAGCTGTAAATGGTCACGCACTGAGGATAGTAAGGATGACTCATTTTATCCACGATGTGACATTGCTGCTGTGAGCCGAACCCAACGTGCAGTGCAGTGAAGCTTCATTGGCAATTACACACTCACAAATAGAGTGATATAAGAGTTCCAAGAAGTTATAAGTATCCCTCACTACCTTTCATAAAACTTTTCTTTGAATAGGATAATTTATTTTAAAGAGATGTGCAGCGAGCTGGCGTAGCTCTTTCGCTTGGAGAAAGCTAAGCTAAGGTTGGTGACCTTCGTTATGCACTTGGAATCAGTACGAGTAGTGGATCGCAATCGCTTACTCCAATAGTAACCACACCCTTAACCCAAGGCAAATAAACTCTTTCGTTCACAATGTAAACTGTATGTCTTGGTCTTATGTGCGGGAAAGCCGCCTATATCTTAAACTATGGGGATTCCTAAAGAAATAGTAAAACCTAATCAAAACGCATAACTACTGGTGGTCCTGCCACGTAGTAGTTTTTTTTACGGTGTAGCTACACCATTGTGTTATTACACCGTCTTATGTAAGCAACACCCTGGTATGGTCACACCATCTGTTGTAATCCACCCCTTCATACCAGGATACGGTATCCCCGTCACACTCCCCCCATCTAAATTGGTAAATTGTGAACACCCACAATTTACATTTTAACTGTCGCCTCGTACGAGGCTTGCATGTCTCAGACACCTTTACGTCCTCAGGACCTTTCTTACGCATTCTCTGTTCAATGGCCTTTGTGTCGATGAAACAAAAGACAACCAGCCTTGCTGCTTACGAGAACGCCCGCAAGCATAGCGCTGCTTCGTCTTCTGCACGCTGTGCAGCTTCGGACAGCACGCCCGCAGCTTCAAAGGGACGGCATTTCAAGACCTCGCTAATCGAGCGCCGCACGCCGTGCCCGCCGCGGGCGACGGATTTCATTGTCGTGGATTTTAAAGAAGTTGACTACAAGTCGAAAATTATTTTCTCGCGATGGGAAGAAGAGGTGGGCGAGGTGCGCCAGCAGCACGGTGTTAGCCCTGATCAAACCTTTCGAACAAGGTGTCCATTTATTGACCTCTCGACTGTCGAAGAAAGTGGTAATATTACCAATAACCTCGACGAGGCACAGAGAGAGCAGTTAGATGATGCCCGGGGGCGGCTGTCATGCGCTAGCATCCACAGTCGGTCCTAGTCCCTCGCGTGGATTACGACTTCCGCTCGGCAGATTCCGCTTCAGACGCGAAGGACGCGATCACTTATCGTTAGGTGTCGACGTGGTCGAGCCCCCGGCCACTACACAAACTGAGCTCAATCAGCGGAAAGCTCTGCGAGCTCATTTATTGATACCACAAGAGATCTTAATGGATTGTTACCGCGCTCGACCTCGAGTTAAAAAAGGAGGCGCTCCTGTACCCGATATGCAGACCATCCCTGTGGTGCTCGCACTCGGCAAAACCGCTGCAGATGACGATGAGCTTTATGAACGATCGATGCATCGACACCGGAAACTTTATTCCGCTGTCTACCTTACGGAGATACCGCACGGAAGTGAAAATGCGCGTGAGCGCCATCTTATATTTGAGCTTGCCAAACTCAAGGTGCAACGCCAATTACTTGCATATTGTTGCCCTTAGAAATATGGAACAACCTATAACGCTCCCGCGAGCTCTGGGGTTTCTCACTCGGGTGTCTCTTCGACCACAGCAGCTCAGGGCCATATCTTGAGCTTATCTCATGACCCTTCAGCTTCTCAGGGTACCGCCAAAATGCGCGGTTTGTACAACGACGCAATGCGTCATGACCCTTCTGATCTTAAGCATTTATGATGTCTGGGTAATCGTGCCGACGTGGCACGTTAAATTTCCACGAGCTCTAAGAGTTTGGTTATCCCTGCCACTTTACAAGATTTTGAGTTAAACCCAGTCAATGAAGTCGACAAACAAGGCGTTCCACTGGTAGTGGACGCCACTGTTCTCATCGCGATGCTTCGGCGGCAGGCGATGACAACTTGGTCGATCACCGTCCGATGAGCGTTGGAGGACAAAGTCCGTCGTCATCGGCACTCCGCCGAACATCTATCCGAGGTCCGCTCTGCGTAAGACCTCGAGAACCTGGAGCACTTTGTGTACCGACTTCTTCACGCTTAGAATTATCGTGCTCTGTCGGAGTGACCCCTAGCCGTCGAGCAGGCGAATACGTCGATTTGTGCGATAGTGGAGCGCCTTGCGCCGTTAAAAGTTGTTGCACACCGTCCTCGGAACCGATCGGTGAGTCAGCATCTTGCGCCGGATACCGGGAAAGATCAAGCAAGCTCACATAAATCTCCGGGTTAGTGCACATCCTTCTCGGAAGGTTCAGCGTATACACAAGGCCTCGCTTGGCCACGACCTTAAAAGGTCCAATAAACCGTGGACGGAGCTTCGTCTTTAGACAGCAAAAATTGCATGAGTAGGAAGGTTTTTAATATTTAATTAGACCAGGTTTCTGACCTCAATGTTTTCAACATTTCTTCGTCCTCTTCCGTGTGCATATTCCTGTTGCATGACTTGGCTTTCAGCCATCGCATCGTGAACGTGTCGTTAGACACTCAGCCTGGAGTCTCCAACTTCCTTACACACAGTGAAGGGGCTGGCATCAGCTAGCCGCTCGTTTATTCTTCCCCCACCAAGCCCTAAGCCATAGGATGGCGGTGTCGGCGAGACGCGAGGATTATTAAATCAGTTAGTAGAACGGCGTGTAGCCTATAGATAGATGCACTGCATTGTTCAGGAAAAACCCTACGAGAAGAAGCTTGGCGCTCCAGCGCTTCGGCGTCGAAGCGTCTGCGTTGCGATGAACGTCTTCAACGACGCAATTCACGCACTTTGTCTAACCATCGGTCTGTGGATAGTCCGCTGTTGACATAGTCGACTTGGTGCCCACCACCCAGAAGATTGTAGACCAAAACGTCCCAGTAAAGCGCGTGGTCACTATCAGAGACAATTGGTTCCAGGAGTCCATGTTGTCGAAAGACACGATCGACAAACAGCGTACACCGGGGATGGCGTCCTGCACTGCCTCAAGATGAACCATCTTGCTCAAACGGTCCACACAAAACACCAACCCGTGTCGCCCACCAAGTGATTCGGCAGATCAAACCCTAAGTCCATAATCATAGACTGCCAACACTCGGAGGGTACAGAGGGTACCAGGAAACAGACCAGCAGCGTCGTCGCATTCACACGTGCGCACATATATGCTCGTCCATTTGAACAGCTTGGGCTACCAATATTGGCAACCCACAGAGCTGTACGTCTTCTCACGACTAAGGTGGCCACTGAGTAATTACAATTTGTGGCGTATCCGTAATCGGTTCAATAATGTACCAAGCTGTTACTCAGCGGTAGTGGTGTAACTGTGCGCGCAAACGCGCCAACAATTTTTTGTCCGAGTTTCCAACCTCCTTGCTCCCGAGAGCCTGTAGCAGCGCTTCACACAAACTGTCGCCCGCGTTCGCAGCGCGGGTCAAATCCGTCACTGACGACGTCACCGCCGTGACATGAGCAATCTCATAATTTGGTCTGCGTGACTACACATCAGCCAAAGCATTCTGCTTTCCTGGCTTATACTTCACCTCGGAGTTATAATCTACGAAAGAGGAGAGTCGCCTGGCCATCCTTTGCGAGAGGTAGTTGCAGTGAGTACAAGTGCATACTTCATCGCAACTAATTTCTTGTCGTAGTATGGGTAGTTCTTCTCCGCAGCCTTAAGCTGGCGAGATTCGAACACGATCACCCGAGCTCGCCCCTCGGTGTCTGCTTGCAGCCGATGGCAAAATCCAAAGTATCACAGAGGACACTAAAACGGCGATCGGGGTCTGGTAATGCCAGTATCGGTGCATAAAGGAGGCTGTCTTTGACCCTGTCAAAAGCCGTCAGTGCTCGATGTCCTAACACCATTCCTCATCCTTCTTAAGGAGATTAGACATTGGTCGTGCCATTTCCGCATAATTTGTGCTACACTCGTGCAAGTAGTTGGCGAGGCCAAGCCACTTGCGCACGTCCATTTCGTTCTTTAGAGCCGGCTAGTCCATACTAGCCTTGAACCTAGCGGGATCCGCTCGAAGGCCACGCTTCCCAATAAAGCAATCTAAAAAGGATGTTTTCCGCGCAAGAGATGCAATTATCGACATTAGCATACAGCTTATTCTCGCACATGCACTCGAGCACCGCTCGCAAATGGACGATGTGGTTTTCAATATCTGTCCTCCCACGCTTTGCACGACTGTGGACGAAGATGTCGTCAAATATGTCTATGCATACGCCCGGTGAGGCCAGAACAACTGCGTCACAAGACGATTAAATGTTGCTGGTGCATTTGGCAGCCTTTGGGGGCATCACCAGCCACTTTCAGAGCATCTCACCCGAAATACTTACCGCTGTAAGCGGAATATCACTCGCTCTCAAGAGCAATTGGTTATAACCAACGACTAGGTCGAGTACCCTATACTTTGTAGAGTCAACCATATTGTTGTGGAGAACATCCATTCCAGAAAATGGCATTTGTGCCGAAATGGTGGCAGCGTTGAGCTCATTGTAAGCGTGAGCGATACGCCACTTGCCGTTCGACTTTCGGACAGAAACGTAGTTGTCGAATGGGGATACTTGCTCTCGCGCACCATTTCTGCCTTATGCTTTGCACGGAAGAAGGCGTCAAAGAAGTCGCGCTGCTCCTTGGGTAGGGGCCATTGACGTGTCACGTCGTATTTGGCCCCCGGAACTAGTTCGATCTCATGACGCATACCTCAGTCCGGAGATAGAACCTACAGCGGGGCCTTGGAGACGACGTCTCAGAATTCCTTTGCCAAAGCATAGTACGGATCCAAAGGATTCTTCAGGATCAAGAATCTACTTCGGCCGCTCAGCACCCTCTTGGTGTTCTCCAGAATAGCTTCAATCCGATGCGACGTCAAACTGATCTCCTCTTTCGGTCGTATAATTACCACTTCGGCTAAGTCGCCTGCCATCAAGGCAACGCCAAAGAAGGACCTTGTTCAAGAAGCCTCGGACCTCGTCCGACCATGCCGCTCTTTGGGCAACTGCCTCGAAACGTGAGCAGTGCTCAGTGGATTACGTGTCACTCCACGCGCAGCACAAGGGCCTTGCCCTTGATGCCTCGGCCCTTTGCCGACCATGCCACCCTAGGTATGCAGCAACTTCTCCAATACTTGAGAAGCGCTCAGTAAGTTATGTGTCACTCCACGTTCATCCCGCGAGTCACGCTCGAGACGGTTGACCAAAATACCTTTGGCGTTTGACAGCTCGGATACTCCGATATCCAGCACACTGACCACCCCGGTCCAGTGCCCGCACCAATATTGCTTCTGCTTCCTAGTAGAGGTGGATTCTTGACTCACCAAAGCTCCACCAGGAGACGTGCGCGTGATACCCAAGGTATTCGATCTCAAATCAATCCATGGCTCATGGTGTTCCAACCATGCCAAACCAAGGATAAGATCACACCTTGCATCCAAGTCTTAGACCAGACAGCGTTTCACGTTATTGAAGTCAAGGAACTTGACACCGAGATCCATAGCGACCCTCCGCACAGTGACACAAGTCCCCGTCGCTAAGCGAACAGTGACGGTATCCTACAACTGCGTTTTAGCGCCTCAGCAAACAGCTGACTTCCTTCGATCGTAGAGCGTCGAGAATATTTGCCCGACGCACCAGAAGCAATAAGGATTTTCCATGACCTGTCAAAGCCCTTCACGGTTGCCTTTCTGACCAGCAAGCCCAGCTTGCACACACGTTCCGTGTTCAAGTGCACGCAGGTTTTCGGGGCTGGGCCCTGCTGCCCTCAAGCTCAACATAACTCATGTTTCCCCTCGAAATGTGCCCGCGTCTACTAAGGTGTTCTCGTTTTCTCGCGTCAAATTAGACTAATTAAAAGTGGGAAGTCGGTTCGACGAGCCTTTACGCGCCTCGCGAAAGAGACAACTCGTCCGAAGCTTATAAGCGTTTCCACAGACAAAACACCGTCGGGTATTTACACTTACACGCTGCTCAGCAGCTCGGAGCTCTCAATCCTTCTTCACAGCACAGCTGGTATCCA